GTTTCTGTTAATAAGAGCCAAAGACATTACTATAATTTTGCTACAAATGGGAGCTTTTGTATTGCATCAAAACTATACAATTCTCGTATTTAAGTAAAAAAAAAAAAAAAGTTTTAACACAACAATAACATTTTATTGTTAAATACAAATAAATAAAAAAAGAAACTCAAATTAAAAAAATTAGGAAGCAAAAATTTTACGTCAAAACAAGAGGTGAACTAATTATAAAGTTTACAGAATTTTTATTTGTTTACATACAAGAATATGGGTTAAATAAGAAATTCACCAATAATTAAGCCTGCAGATATTGTTGCAATAATAAATTACCAATGTTGGTTCGAAATATTTTAATTTAAATTCATATTAATATAACAACACATAGTGACAGAAACCTTTGCCATCAAGTTTGAAATCTTTTCAAATAAACTTAACTATTGTTCCTACTTAATGTAAAATAATGGTATATGCTAAGATGTTTCACATAAAGTTAAATCACTCTGGTATAGCTAATAAATTGTAGTTGTCAGAAATATTTTAATTCAAACTTCAATTTGGTAGTATAAATCAAAAAAAAAAATACTATATAAAACAACAGTCATTAATAACTGTTTCAGAAATTCTCAAGTTGGTGTATAAAAAAATAAATATTTATATTACATATAGACGTTAAGAATATCATGCATTAAAAAAATAAGTATCATTAAGAAATAAATATCTTGAAACAGAAAAGTAAATAGAAGTTATTCTTTTTTTTTATTTTAAACGGAATTAAAAGTTTACAAATAGAACATAAAATCTTCATATTGCTGAAATATTATCATGTTACAATATAATACTAGAATATTTATTATACTGAGATTTCAAGAAATTATGAAAGGAATNGAGTCGTGGTGTGGTTCTTAGCGCCATGGGTAAAGAAGTTTGTAGACTCGGTGTCAATCAATGGCAAAGGCCATTGGATTTGATTTAAAATCCTTTCATACAAACTAACCTTTCATATAATATGATCTGTCAATAATTTGAAATGTGTGTTGAAGAGGCCGCAGATCAGGACAGATCTCCAAATCATCACTACAATGATGTGGTTTTCAGAAATCACTTAGTACAAAAAAGAAATTCAAATTTAAACCTATGCTCAAGACATTGAAAGCCTTGTTTTAACAACACAGGTCAGTCAACGGCTAGTTCAGTAGGGTTTATATTTGAAATCCCATTAATCAAACTCATATTAAATATAACACAGTAAAACTAAAAGTATAATTTGTTATTAAGCTAGGGCAATTTTCATCGTTCCAGGCCTGTTAGAAAATACAGAAAGGCTATTAGAAAAAATTATAACACAAAAGAAATGCATTTAATAATCAAATATTGATGGGATTTGTTTATTTTGAAAACAATATACATTGGTCGAAAATGTTTAAGTGAAAATGTTATCGTGCGTTACTGGTTACACGAGTTTGAATATTGGAACGATCGGTGCAGTCAGTGCACTGGTTACACCAGTTTTAATATTGGAACGGTCAGTGCGGCAAACCAGTGTAACCGGTAACACCGGTGCGAATATTGGAACGTGCCCTAAGATTGGCACTTACTACGTGAAAATCTGATTATTAGAACGAAAGTTAATCTAGGTGGTATCTTTTTTTTTTTGCCGACTCTAAATATATATACAACTGAGGAGATAGGGAAGGGTAGGAGATATTTTAATTAACTTAACTTTAATTAAAATTTTGAGTTAATAAAGATTGAGTTGATTAAGATTAGTTAGTGCTGACGTCATAGGTCACAAGCATAGGTATTGTGTGTCTTCTTCTTCTTTTAGTGCAAGTGCCCGATTATTAGCTGTGGAGCCAACAATATAAATGTATCAATAGAGACTTATATTCTAATTTTGATGTCTGTTTTTCAGAAGAAATAGATAATCGGAAATGCAAAGGATAAATGTAAATAGAAACCGATTGTAGTCACCCAAATATCTGTATTTATTATTTGTGTTTAAAAGAAGAATCGTCTTTTGAAGATCTATCATTTCAAGATGTAAGAATTCTCATTTGAAAAAGGAATCGTTAAAGAACCTTGTTAACAATATACCAACCTTGAAATTTAAGCCAAAATGATAATATGAAAAATGAATATTGTTGGAACAATATGCTATGGCTAACCAGAGTTGGCAAGGTTTAGTACAGAATGGATTAATCCAGGGTTTAACCGTCCTGTCCCTTTTTTTCAAATTATGTCACAATTTAAAAAAAATATATTAAGAATTAAAGGGATTAATTTTTGAACAAGAAACAAAATGAAGACAAGTTTTCGTTTTATTAAAAAAGCTTATTATTATTTTTAATATTGCATTATTTATCCTTATGCAAGAACATAATTTATCAGTATTAAAGCATATTAATTCATATTTAAAGAATAAGGTATTCACTTTTGTTATTTAATGAATTGTGTAACTTCAAAAGTTATTAATCTTTTCCTATAATATTATATTATATTCCTTTAATAGGTTAAGCTAAATTGTGTAAAAAACATCAAGTATTTATTAATAAATGTAATCATTATGTGTACAATGGTTACACATAGAATTTTCACCTTTTATACTAATGTCTTAGGTTTTGGACAGTTTTAGTAAGTTTAGGACAGTAAAACCCACATGTCTTGTCCAAAACAGGTTTAGGGCATCAAAAACAGAGCTCTGAAATAATAAAATGTATTAAAAACAAAATTATCTGTTTGAAAATATCACTTTGTGGAATTATTAGTATACATTCTAACCGGAGCATGTCAAGAGCTCGAGATGGTTGTTGTTTATATTTATATTAAAAGGGGCATATTTCTGTATCGAGATCTGTTGCACCAACTACAATCACCAAGGTGCCAAATCGATTTCAAACTTGAAAATTTAAAAAAAATAATAAATCGTGTGGATGTTTGCCCGGGGGTGGCTATGAGTTATACCTTTCGAGTTGGTCCCTTTCTGTGATGTTTTTTTAGTTTCCATGCCCAGTTAGCCACTGCCCAGAAATTTCCAAGAATTGGTTATTATTCTGCCACAGATCACGAAATGGAAATCTCCCCTTTAAAAGCACCATCCATACTCAGGGATATATATTTTCTTCTTTCTGATAGATTTTTACGATCACAAAAGGAACCATGTCTGTAGATTACTTTGAATATGCCCGAAATTCTTTTGTTGAGGCTTCACCTTTTCTACTTATTTCTGATCCGAATATAAAATCCGCTGAAGAAAGTTGTAAGTATTTGTTAGATTCCCTTAACTAACTTTGTTTTCTCTACTGAGGGTTTTGAAAAGCAAGACATATTTCATGTCACTTTTTCATAAAATTGTATTTATCTAAAATCCATGTATACCTGAGTAAAAACCTAGGTTTATTTCAATTTAATTGAAAATTTGTTGGACCACATTTTAGTTTTGAGTTTTATCAAATTAGAGACACAAATTTGGCTCCTACTGCCAATAGTTAATTTGTGAATAATAAGCCTGTCAGTGAATATTTATTGGAATTTAAAAAAAAAGCTTTAAAAAATGTTTTAATTATTCCTTATACTTAAGTTTCTAATTGTTGTTTCCGATTGTGGTATTTCTGTATCGTGATCTGTCAAGCCAACTACAATTGCCAAGGTGCCAAATAGATTTTAAACTTGTAATTTTTTTTTTTTAAAGCATGCAGATGTTTGCCTGGGGTTGGCTACAAGTTATACCTTTCAAGCTGGTCCCTTCTGTGATGTTTTTTTGTAGTTTCTCACAGGCCACTGTCCTGAAGTTGCCAAGACTGCAATTATTCTGCGACAGGTCATGATATGGAAATCTCGAAAATTCAATCACCACATTTTTCTTTTTTGAGTTTCATAAAATTACTTACATTTAAAGACACAAATTTTGCCTCCACTGACAATAGTTTTTTGTGAATAATAAGTCTGTCATAGATTATTTATTGGAATATAAAAAAATAGCTTTAAAAAATGTATTAATTATTTCTTATGCCTAAGTTTGTTCATTGTTGTTTGCAATTATTATCTGTTTATTAATGAGTAACTCTTCATATTTTTTTACTAGCATTGTTATGTTTTGGAGGATTGTCAGCCATCAACTAACTATCAAATCCATAACATGGAATATTTTTTCAACAAGTTTCATTCAGATTTTTCTTTCTGTTTAAGATTTCTTAATGTTTAAGATACCAAAAGAAATTATTTATTAAAACATAATTTAAACTAAAGTAGCAATTTATTTAGTCCACTGATCTTATGATTTCCCTTGCTTTATAGTTTTCTGATGATTTTTATTTTTTTAATGCAACGTTAGATAATCTAAACAAAATAATTGGAAAATTTTTATATTAGTCCAAAGAAATTAATTAGCAATGTTGATGTAAATGGTAATATATCAGTTATATAAAACTAACAGAAGTTTTAAAAGCAATAACATTATATTAATATTTGTCAACATTTATTATTTATTAACATTTGCTAAAATTTTTTTATTTATTAATACAGGGGTCCCCAACCTTTTTGTACCTAAGAGCAAATACCAGAATATCGGTCGAGTGGCGGGCACCATTTATTTTTTCAAGATAAATTTATAGTTGATAGACATAGGTAATAATACACGCTACATATAATACACAAAAAATTTAATTGATAAAATTAATTTAACATATGAATATAATTAGTATTAATATTTTTGTGTAAAATAAATGATTACTAAATTGCTTTCAAAACATATGAATTGTAAAAATTATTTATAAAATACAGTCAATGTGGTTTCTGGCATGGCATTTCGCTGACCAGTGCTTCATAAATGGGAGAATATGATGAAATTCCTACTCGCTAGTAATCGTCAAGGTGTTCATCTGAAAATCGGGATCTATATTTTGATTTTATGATGTTCATTGTCAAAAACAGTGATTTGCACAACTTTGTGGAACCAAGAAACGACTTTATTTTATGTGATGCTCTTTTTGAAAATGGAATTTATTCCTTCAACTATATTCCAGAATTTCTCATCTGATATAATAGTTTTGAGGATAATGTCATTCTGAAGATCCACAATTTCTATCTCCACTTCTTCTCGCTTTACTTGAAGAAATTCTGAAATGTATGTTGCTATTACGGTTACGTTTATTTGGTTGATAAAGGGATTAACAAAAAAGATCAAAGGTTCGATGATATTAAATTGTTGAAAGCGCTTTGATGAAAAATGTTGATAAGTCAATTTCACTGTCATCTATCATTTTTTTCATGTTTGGAAAATGCACAACAGACTTCATTTTCAAATGACATATCCACAAAACTAGCTTAGCTCTGAACGAGTTTATAGCCTCTTATCATTTTTGCTATATGTTTGTCCTTTCCTTGCAGCTCCAAGTTTAAATTATTCAGTTTTTCCATTATGTCTGTTATGAAAGACAAATATGCTAGCCAAAGAAGTTCTAAAAATGTTTCTCTCTTAGTTCTAAAAATGTTTGATTTTTGGCTGCAAGATAATTTTTTATTTCTTCAATTAAATGTAGAAATCTATCAAGTACTTTGCCTTTACTGAGCCAGCATACTTCAATATGTATTTGCATAGCATTTAATGGGAAAATAGAAAACTGAAATATTTTATGGTTGGGCATAAGCAGCGGGAGCACCAAGACCGATCGACGGGCGCCATGGTGCCTACGGGCATAGGGTTGGGGACCCTTGTATTAACATATGTTAACATTATGATTTGTGAATAAAATATATTTAATCTGTCAATTGGTTAAGTAATTTGTTTGACAGTTTTTAACTGATTGTTGGTCACATAAATGTCATTTTGCGATTTCTCAAAATTTATAAAATGATATGTATCTGAAAAATTAAAACTAATGCTACTATTTGGATCTGCTTGAACTTTTCTAGTGCAAATTTTTTTTTTTTTTGAATTATTAATTCTTTAATTTCTAAATTAAAATTATGTTCAAGTTTTATATGCAGTTGTTTCCACTTAATTGCATATCGAATAATCAAATAACCTGCTTATACCAATAAAATTTAATGGAACCAAATCATTTTATATAAAACTAATGTTAAATTTCCCCGTTTAAACGAATAATTGTTGTTTTTTGTCCCCGCTTAATTGCATAAAGAAGAGGTACTGAAATGAAAAAAAATTGTTTACTTTTGAGAAATGTAAAATGGAATTTCCGTTTTTCAATTGAGATAATGATAATTTAAAAAAAAATTACGCCCGCCATCGTCTTCTCAGACATAAGGCATCTTGCTGTCCAATACAACACTGAAGTAGCTCCAGAAGGTGAGAGGGCACAAAAGTCATCACAGGAACGAATGTCAGGACAGGAATGTCATCACAGGAACCTCTAAATGCTTATTCTATGGGATATTTAAGGATGATATTTCTGCTATACTTAACTAGTTCATTTACATTATTTGCTTTAAGTAGGTTAAGCTGTTCTTTATTTCTTTGAGTTTTTCTAGCAATTAAAACTAGTACTAGAGCACAGTGATTGTGTGTTTCTTCTTAATATATTGTTTATAATATGAATAGGGTTTCCAGATTTGAGTGGCAACCCTGTCAAAAAAAAATTTATGAACACTTTATGAATTTTAACTGTCTCTCTTTTTTTTTGAAGCTATTGAGTGGACTTGGGATGTTAAAAGTGGGAATGATTTTGTAAACACTTTAAATAATGATAGAGATGTGACATTTCATAGAAAACACAGCAGTGGGACTGCGCTTGTGAGAGGAAGTAAGCCTATGTCTCATGGTCAACATTTCTGGGAGATTCAAATGATATCTCCTGTTTATGGAACAGATATGGTAACTTTATTTTCTTTCCATTAACTGAACATTCATTTGTTGCTCCTTATACAATCTTATTACAAACTTGAAAAGAGACACTAAAAATTTTTAGTAATTGAATATTACAGTCTAAATAATAAATATGCTGTTAGTTGTATAAAATTTATTTACTTCCAGAAGAAAACATTTATTTCAATCAATCTTTTCTTGCTCATTTGCACTTTGAAGAAATCTTTGTTTTGATTCTATGTTGGTCTCTCACTCTCTGGCCAAAAGGACACCTAGTGGTATGGACTTCTTGGTCCACCTTTTACATTGATGACAGCCTGAAGACCTTCCACCAGTTTTTGATAGCCATCACAGGCTGGCTAAGTAATCTGCTCTTTATTTCATCCCAAAGGTATTCTATAGGAGGCCAGTCCAATTTTTGTACATGCCTCAAAGTGTGAATGGTCTAAATATTGCCATAGAGTTGTCCACATCTCCATAACAATTGGGATTCTTTTGGCCAGATAGTTCTTTACTGAAATATCATCTCATGAAAGGTTTGCTAATAATGCTTTAGGAAAGCTCTTTAAAGTTTCAAAGCTTCTGAAAAGAAATCATGATATTGAGGTTTAAATGAAGTTGTCAATAAATAACTTTTTATGCATCTTGCCATTGAAGTCAAAAAATCTATTATAGGAAAGATTTGTTTTTTAAAATATAGTTGAATCTTTGCTTCAAAAATAATTTTATTAGTTAATTAAATCAAATCCATTTTAGATGGTTGGAATTGGAACAGCAGAAGCTGATATGTCTCAGTTGCAAAATACGTACATTAGTAGATTAGGAAAAGATAGTGATACTTGGGGTTTTTCGTATACTGGATCTTTTTATCATAATGGAGAAGAACGCACTATATCTACTACTTTTGACCAGGGCAGCATTATTGGTCTTCATCTTGATCTGTGGAATGGAACATTGTCTTTCTATAAAAATCGCAAACATCTTGGTAATTCATTCTATCTATGTCATATATTCGTTAATTTTATTTGTATTGTGTCAAGTCAAGGTTTTATTTTTGACTATTATTCTACTCTTGTATATATTAATGATCTGCTTTTGTTATCATCGTTGCTTGTTCCACTATACTTTATTTATTATTACTCAAAATTCTATATTATATAAATTTTATTAAAAGCAGCATCTCTCTAAAATCGTACCTCCACAAACTGGCGACCCAGACGTGATGCAAACTCGCCTACATCGAAAATAACGCTCACGTCTATGTGAACTTGTCTACTTTGGTAGATAAAACATATTTAAATGTTGAATTGCTAAATGCAACTGTGTCATTGCTCCTTTGCACTGTTGCTTCTCAGTTTCATTTATACACAATGAGGTCCTGCACACACTTGACTGCTAATAGCGACACACGGTGAACAGCTCTCCCAATCTTTTGCGGAACCATATTGAATCAACTAGTGATATCCATTCATTGAATTCTATCCCAGTTAAAATTCTGGTCGCGTAATTACCACTACGATTATTAAACATCAATTCACTAGGCATGCTAACTGGATTCTATCTATCTTTTGATAGATGGAGGTTGACATAACTCCTTTCACCACAGTATGATCGTTAAGAAAGTTTAAATTAATATTTAAAAGCTAGCTTCTAAAGTTTAAAATAGAATTAAAAATCCCAAGGAAAAAACATTTGATTTTTCTCATTTTTAAAATACATTTGAAATAAAATTATTGTATTGAGTAACTATAATTTCGTTAATCACAATGCCTTATAACTTATGAATCTCTCGTTAACTTATCGCTCTATTAAATTAAATATTATTTTCATTGGAAGCTTATTGCAGGTTTTTAATAATTAATGACCTTTAATTTCATATGTTACGTGAGCGCAGATAAAATCAGGATTGGGATTTTACCAGAGAAAAAGCAGTTTTTACCAGGATATGGTAAAAACTAGTTTTTTACTGGCAAAAATCTGGTAGGTAAATACCATTAACCCATATTTAGTCATTTACATATATAGTGGTTTCTTATTTATAACTGATAGCAATATATTTTATTTCCAAATTATAGGTAATATTAATAATTAGTGTATGTATATTATATATATCTATGCATATCAACAAGATACAAACCATTGGTTTTAAGTGATATGATGTAAGTTATGTCCTAAATTGTAGTTGTAATTAGATTTTCCATTAATTAAATATTAAAATCATTGTTATAAATTACATTATTGCACTTTTTATTGTATGCTATAACTTTATTACAGCTGCATATAGGCAAGAAAAAACTAGGAAGCTCAAATAAGCAGAAATTCTGTTAACGAGATGTTTACATATACGCAGTGGCGTACCTAGAACTTTTGCCGCCCGGGGCAATCTCCAGTTTGCCGCCCTTTCTATTATAAGTCAATCAAATAGTGGTTTTTATAAATTAATACAAATAAATAAATTATTAAGTTATTTAATCAATATTAATTAATACACAGAGTAAATTTTTTTAGACATATTTGTATGCACTCGTAAACATATTTATATAATATCTACTCTTCTAGCTTTCATACTAGAAAAATCGTGTATAATGCTCTCAAAATTTATATTATTTGTAATTTCTTGTTCTATTGACAATATTGCAAGATTTTGTAGTCTTAATTGACTCATTGTAGAACGAAGATAATTTTTTATCAACTTCAATTTTGAGAAGCTTCTTTCGCAACTAGCGACACTGATTGAAATTGTTAAAAAAATTCTTAACAAAATTACAATGTTGGGAACAGAATTTTCCAACCTATACTGCTGAATAAATTTTAGCAGATCAAGAGGGCCCTTCTCCCCGTTTTTCCAATGTTTTGCCTCTTCTTTTAGTGTAGGTACAGCCATAAAAACCTGGATCCTTTTTCTTTCAATATGGAACTGTTCTTTATCAATGTCAATCAAGTCATTTATTTGACATTCAAATTCTTCATTTAGTAGGTTACACGGTATTATACACGAATATTTTCTTACAAGGCCATGCAACTGATCGAAGCGTTCTTTTATTTCCTTTATAATTCTGTCCATAGATGAAAACATTTCTCTTCGTACTTCTTCTTCTAAGGATAGCC